TCTCTAAATACAAGGAAATAACAACCAATATCTCTCATAATATGAGAAATTGTGTAGAAAACATTCGGGGAGAAATTAATATATTTCTTTCTAGAATTATGTATCATTCTATTCATTATTTTTTTGCTCCACTATATTTAGCAGATAACTCAATGCTTTCAATCGTTCTCTACAAAATTGGGCGTGCTATCTTCAGCTTCATCCTCCATCAATAGGGAAATTTGCCACCTACCTTATTAATTACAAACCAAAATTTCATTGGCTGGATTTCCTATGCACTTCACGACTAAAGATTAGCATTAAATGCAAAGGTGGCTATTTAATGCATGAAGAAGATTTTTGTCTCCAAAGTCAATAAAAGTGGCTTTAATAGCCAACACTATTGAAATCATACAATATGGTATTTCATGAAAGTGTACACACTTTTCCAAGATGGGCATAACTTGACCACCCTTGAAGAGAAAACAAAAATAGCAGAGTATGCCAGCACTACACTCACCTTTAAGTGCAAAATAGTACGCAATGCAAAAGGATCATTCATAGGAAAATACTTTTTGTACATAACTATTTACATAATATTTTACATAATGATGAGGTATTAAAATATAAGTAAAGAAATTATTTGATTGATGAGATTTTGATCCAATTAAATCCCGACACATCATATGTTTTTAAATCATTATGTAAATTGTTATGTACATGTAGCACAATCCTAATTCACAGTACATGCAAAATGAAATATGGCTTACAGCTTAACACGTACAAGCAGTTATTCCAACAAAATATAACTTGCGGAGACTTTATACAAATATGCAATTGGCAAAAGTGGAATGCAATTTTTAATTGTGCTTGACTTATAATGTAACTCTAATGATGATATAGAGAAACTGAATTTTAGTCAATCATCATGGGTATTAAAGAGACTTCTATATTTACTAAAAAATTTATATTTAAGGGTATGTTAATAATTTATCGCCTAGGGCCTTATAAATCTCAAGCCAACCCTGTGAACTCTCATAATCGACTAATATGTCTCGCTTACTAATTGGTCAAATTTGATCAAAACTAGCATTTTGAACCAATTTTTAGCAGATGATGTAACATATAATTTCAGCAGAGTAGCAGAACTTCTTTGGAACTCCGGCTGACTAGATTATCTCCCAAATGAACACAAAACCAGAAATTGAATTTCTACTATCAGGATCACATGTGCAGTCAGCATCTGAGAATCATCTAAGGAGAAAATGTGTTGTTTTATGAAAAATCAATAGTGCCTTTCACGTACTTTAGAATTCTTTTATCAGCCTTGCAATGAATATCACGATGAGATTGCATAAACTGATGTACTTTATTGACTGAAAAGGCAATTTCTGGTCTTGGTGATGTAATATGATGCAGAGCTCCTATAATTCCAGTAACGTCTTTTAACCTAGCTAAGGTTCCTCCATAAACCCTTTGAAAAATGCTACTTGGCCAGGGTAGAGACCAGACTTAAAAATAGGGATTCAAATTTTCGTATAAACTATTTTCACTCTCTTCTTTTTGGAGGGAAACCCACTTTTACAACAAAAACTTTCCCTGGCACCCAATTTCTCCCAAATTTGTGTGCTAAAGAAATCTGTGCACCCATTTCCTTTGAGAAAGAAATCTTTGTTAGAAGACATAAATCCCACATCTCGAATTCCTGACTACTCGAAGGAGCATGGGTTATTGACCTTCATTTTCAGCAATTTCGATTTCGTCCTCTCCGATTTCTTCCCATTGTTGAGAGCTCTTGGTATATCAATGGTGTAGATGAGGCATCCAATGGATATGTCCTCGAGAGTAAGGACTTTCTTGGTTGCCTGCCTTGTTTCCTTCTACTTGACTTGTTTAATAACTCATTTGAAACCTCTACAGATTTTATTTTTATGTTGGCTGCCTGCCTTTGATGAATGTTGTGTGACACTTTTATTGATTCAAGAGATTTTTGTATGACCACTTTGTCACACGTTTTTGTTGTAATGATCAAGATGTTAGACTTTGCCATATGACAGGCTGTTCTGTCCTTTGAAAAGCTGATGTAGTAGTTCAATTGTGTAGTGGTAGTAGTTGATAGAAAGAGTATTATATATTATATTTTGCATCTTGTTCAACCTTAAGTGGTTGGTGCCGTGTGTATGCTTAATTAATCAGTTTTTGTTCCTCCTCTTTATCTTTCAATTTCTTTCAGTGGTATCAGAGCCTTTAAGGATCTTTGAAGGATCAAAAGGTGTATGAAAGAACTGAAGAGAGTGTGATTTCATTAGCTAGAATCCTCTCTTAAAACAGAGTGATTTTTTTGTGAGATTGTGATATGGCTTCAAGTGGATTTTCAGCACCATTACCTTCAGCATTCACAGGAGATAATTATGATTTCTGGTCTACAAAAATGAAGGCATACTTGAAGGCATATAACTCTCTTTTAAGAGCCAATCCAACCATTCCCCAACTGAAGCAACATAGCGAGAAGGTTGCCAAGAAATTCAAGGCTCTTTCTTGCATACAAGCAGCTGTCTCGGACGCCATTTTCACAAGGATAATCGCTTGTGAAACCGCCAAGGAAGCTTAGGATAGGCTGAGGGAAGAATTCAGGGGTAATGAGAGGACAAGACAGATACAGGTATTGAATCTGAGAAGAGAGTTTGAATCGCTGAAAATGAAGGAATCAGAAGTTGTGAAAGAATTTTCTGATAGACTAATGAAGGTTGTTAACCAAATCAGGTTACTTGGGGATGATCTTCCTGACAAGAGAGTAGTGGAGAAAGTCCTGATTAGTCTTCTAGAAAAATTTGAATCTAAGATATCCTCACTTGAGGATTCTAGAGACTTGTCAACCATTTCATTGGCCGAGTTGGTGAATGCTCTC